TTCGAATCGATACAAAGGCCAAAGCTAATTAAAATCTGAACAAAACCTTCTTATCAAGGACATTGTGGGAAGGAGAGATGTTTTCAGACAGCTACCGAAGGGGTTTGGAAAGAGCTTAATCTTTCAACTGCTGCCTAGAGTGTTCAAATTCTTGAACACGGATTCTCTTCTAGTCCCTTGGTCATTGTCATTTCACCTCTTTTGTCGATTGTTGAAGACCAAGTTAAGTACCTTTGATCATTGGGAATCGATGCTGCTTTCATTGGGGAAAACAAAACCAAAAACCAAGAAATATCGGATGGAAAGGGCGGGTTTGCTTTCTTGTAAATGTCAGCTTAGCGCAGTATCATCTACTCACATCTAATAAACAAAAGTTTCCACGCTTAGCTTTTCTTTTTTTCTCAAGCGAAGATTAGATTAGATTTTGGCGCGCACAGAAAGCTGCGTAAGCGCCAGTTGCTCGACATACCTGCGTGCCCCGTGCGACGAAATAACTTTACAGGATTGGCAAAGCTTCAGTCATATCAACTCCTGCAACCATCGTGAATATACGAACCTCGCAAACTTTTAAACACGTTCTCTTGTGATACCTGCGAAAGTATTCAGTATAATTTCCGGTGAGATTTTTGCGGACAATCTGATCGATTTCTCTTACATTGTGTGCTGAAACTGAAACTTTTCACCACGAGCAAATCTCCGTCGCACGGCCCAAACAAACATGACGGGGAACTGAGCTTATATCCGTGTTAAAACACACGAAAGGACTCTAAAGCACACTTCAGTCTGATTGGGCAGAAAAACACAAAGATTTTCTGGCACCAATCAGATGCCAGAACGACTGCGACCGTTTGAACTAGTCTTGTAAGACAATGTCCCCAGGGGCTCTTCTGCCCTAACTTGAAATCGACTCACAGCCCCTGGGTCTCCGAGGATGACTGGGAGCAAACCGTTAAGTTGATTCGTAATAAACCCGTGATGATAAATATATGAACTTCATATATTCACTGTATAGTAATATAAAATGTTCACTGAATTATTCGTATCACGTACGCCAGTTGTGTGAAGCACAGAGGACGCTTTTTCTAATCCTTTTTTATGACTTTAAAATGTGTAGTTATAAAGAAATATATATATACAGTTTTGGTCGAGAGCAAAAACAAACCTATAATCTAACAGCAGCGTCAAATAGTATTTTTTTGCGAGTCGTCGAAAAGTTCCTTCTAGCAGCCTGGAAAATTAAACAGAGGATGAATTTTCATTTATCTGTTTGATGGCCGGTTAAGTTTGCATCGAGTCATGGGATAGTAACGAACTTACCAAAGTTCAGATGCTGAGAATGCATAGTGCAGCTACCCAACCAAAGTCCACTTCATGGAAAATTACACCAAGAGTAGATGAAGAGCTGATCAAGTTAAAAAAGGGTAACCCTCGCGTCGCATTAGTGCTTCACAAAGCAAAGATGCATCGGCCAATACTGTATATTTCTTCAAGGACCTCTTTGAAAAGTTGCGTGGACAGCGAAAAACAACTGGCCGTTCCAGGGCTTATTCAGAATTCTCAGATACAGACAGTGCAACCCAAAAAAGTCAACAAGATTAACTGCAGGGTAGAAATATAGTGTCTTCTGAGGCGAAAAGCACCAGGAAATCGGGAAACAAACCCCAAGCACTTTCTCGCGAACAAATTTCATTAATTCTGAATCATTATATTAAATTTGAAAAAATTGCGTTGTTCGTGCCAATTAGAAAAGAATGCTACCACCGTTTGCGACAGATATAAACCTGATCCATCGCCGGAGAAAAGTGAGAATCATCAGAGCAGTAAACTAATGACACTATTAACTGTCAATATCATGACAACCATGGGAAAGTGATTCACTTCAAACAGCTAACGATAATAGTCAGCCATCCGGCCAAAAGAGTTTTATGGAGAGCGGTGACAAACGAGTCAGAGCAATTGAAATTTCTCGTCTTGTTTCACTGCAACAGGATAATAACGCGCGTAGACATGAACAAATGAAAATATGTATGGATGATGATTGTACAGTCCAACACAAAAATCACAAAATACACAGACCAGGAAGGATAACATATTCTCACACACTGCGCGAAGGTGAGCTCTATGTTAGCGGACTTTCTGGAATACTTCTGGTAAGTTCAAAAATGCCTTCCAATCATTGCTCGCCTGTCACCTTCCTCCTGTAAAAAGGCAATATAAGATTAAGAGGATAGAAAGCGTGGACTTTTCAGTTTTCGAAACAGGTCCAGTGATGTCCCTAACGAAAACGGATTGTCATCTTTGTACCGAGTGTAGAAAAACATTGTAAAATCTAACAAGAGTATATGGCGCTGACAACGAATCAAAAAACTTGATCCATCTTAAATACAGATTGAAACTAAAAGAACGTCAGATCTTGGAATAGGAAAAACGGTTTTGATAAACCTTCTGGACAGAGTGCAAGACTTGATAACCACAAAAAAATTTTCTCTTGAGCAAAAAGGAGATCTTAGTACTTACTAGTCAGGTTGAAGAATCAATAGTACCCAAGTTGTACCTTTCCCATCAATCTATGGCCACTGTGGTTTGTAAACAAAAGATGAGAAAACCATGAGTCTAGGAGAGTGTTCAAAACAACGGTGCCACAAGCTGGTAAAAATTGAGAGAAGCTCTGCTGAGGAAGAACATTTGAAAAATTTAGCTAAACAAGGATCATCATGTTCAACTGACAAAGCTGTATGATTTTTCAGGTGCTCTACCCCCTCTGAGATGTGATTTGCGCTGAGCTGTGATTTGCGCGTCATAGCCTCCCCACTTCGGGCTTTTTCTCCCTATTGCTGTGACTTCGCAAAAAGTGCGATGCTTTGGAGTAGGATTCTGAACTCCAGAGGACAAAACAGGTGCAAAATACAAAAAGTGAGGGTTAAGAGATCATAAGTAGGAAACTGAATACATAAAAAGTAATCTACCCATGACAAGAGTATCTTGTTTAGATCTTCAATAATACACTGAAACTGAGAGATAGAAATTGGATGCTTTTATCAGTCCTTGTAAAACGACGACAGAAATCTGTTATTGACTCAGTTAAGAGATCCCGCTCACGCGGATGATTGACAGGCGTGTAACACAGCTGATTTTACCATACAGGAAGAAACAGTAAGTGATAGAGAGGTCCCGAAAAGTAAGAATATTCGAATACAGACTTTGAAAAAAAGTTAAGGATTAAAATGAATATGTAAAAATAACTCATTATTTTCTATTTCGTTTTTGGGAAGAGGGATGTGCGATAGCTGATCGAGTTGGCCCCCAGCCCCAATTTACGGCTGATCTAAAATTTTGCCCATTTTACGGCTAACGTTTTATATCATTTCAAACTCACGTCTTGAGAAAAGGCGAAAGATTACTTCATGAAAGCCTCACGCGTTGTGTGATGTGATGGAATAATAAATAAATAAATAAGTAAATAAATACGTAAATTGAAGCTCCCCCTGAGGGGCTTTTCAGTCACAATGTAAACTAAGTGCTTAAAAATCCCCACTGGCAGGTGGCAGACCGGTGGGCTATTTACAGAGCGCAGCCGATGAGTGAACTAGGGGACACCGAGAACAAATTCAGTGAGTGGCAGGGTGGAGGATTTGAACCCAGGACACCGGATAACAAGTCCAGCATCCTTACCACTCGGCCACGCCGCCTCCTAACTGGAACTGTTGAGAATCTGAATGCGTTATAAGGAATAATCTTTAATCTTTAATATCTTTAATAAGTATACTCCAAAGGTAACACAAAAAAAAACTATACTAGTTTATTATTATAGTATGGGGAACGAATTATGGTCGATTTGGAACGCTAAATATTCCGAAATATGACCATTCTACACGTAAGGTTAATAAACCTCACTCACTCCTTGTGTAAACCTGGAGGTTTCTGGTGATCTCCGCCGTTTTGGGCTTGCTTTGCCATCACTTTTATTCCTAATGGATGGACCGATCAGTCAGTAAGCCATTTCAAACACAGGCAGCCCAAGCTCGCAGGTTAGCGCTATGTTGGTGTTGCCGAAAACGCTTTAAAATGGCCTGAGACGCTAGGAATCAACAAAGTAAACAAAAAGGCAATAAGGTAAGCCCATTTTATTTCAAAACAAGACACATGTTTTTTTCTCTCTTTTAAGGCAAACCGATAACATCCCATACAAACCTTTATAAACATAAAACGTTGCGCAACACGGTAAGAGCCTCGTCCGCTTTTCTGGTAGTTAGCTTGGGCAGCCTGTGTTTCAAAGGGTAAAGTGTGGGTGCAGATGCTGGTGCACAGACCCCTTAGTTATCAAGTCATTTCTATTAACACTGAAGGCTTGGTAGCTGAGGAGAAGAAAGTAATCAACATGGTGAACGTATTGAGTAAGATTGCAGTGCGATTGCCGGCTTTAAACTCTAAAGCCTCTGGAATTGCTGTAGCAGCAGTTGCTGCCGGAATTATTGTGCTGTGGAAGAAAAAGCTTAACGAGCTGAGTGATAAAAGGTACGAGAACATACTTGTTCAAACAAATCATGCAATTCACAGCTTCTTTGCTAGATTTTTTGCCCGCACATTTGCACCGTCATGATCATGCAAACTGCATAGTGTGCTGCAGACTGCCTAGTATGATGCCTTTGACTGGAATAGACAGGCTGCAGCTCGGGTAACGTAGTGCTTGTATGATATTTTTTTGCAACTTACGAGAATGATTTTCCTTCGATTTGCAGAAAAGATGTGACTGGTGATTTGCATATTACTTTAGAGGAGGTATAAAATTTCCTCTATTTGATTCTTTTTCCTTTGTGTACTCCTCACAGTGTATAGATAAGTGTTCCTTCTCGAATGTCATATATAAAACCCATAATTAAGATTCCCTGCTCAGTTCTTTAGGGCCTAAATTAACTTTTTTTATTATCATTAAATAACTCGCTTGACCCCTCGTCAATATTTTCAGGAAAAACATAAAAAGAAAGGAAAGGCTGCAGTTGATGGTGTGTTCTTTAGGTAATAAAAATTAATTTATTTACTTTCTGCACCCTGCAAAAAGGTAGAACAAAGAGTTGAATTTTTGCCGATTATCAATGATCAATTTTCTTTTTTCTGTTCAATCCTGCTTTTCTTTTAGCCATGAGCGGTAAAGGAACAAGATTTTCCTTAATATGTTATATTCTTTATCATTGGTGTGTCAATGGAAAGCGTGATTGCTATCACTCTCTTCCTTTTCAAATAGTTGTATTGAGCATCATTAAGCAAAATAATAATTATAGAATGTGATTTGTGTTGATTTTAGTTTCATTATTATTTTTACTAATCCTTCTAACAGATGCTTGTTTTTTCACCTCTTTGAAAACCATGTTTTTTATTGCACAGTAACACTGTACCATTATCCACTCTTCAAACTTGTTTTAATTCTGTAATACTTGATTGTGTTATCCAGACAACTGCTAAAGATTTTAAAGATTATCATTCCCGGATGGCTTTCACCTGAGGTACTTAACACGCACATTAGCTCTCTTAATACGGTTTAAATATTGTATTCAAATGTTTCCTGATTTGTTTGCTCTGACAGCTTAAATACTGAATTTAATCAATCATGTGGGTTAGTATCAATGGCTATTTCAATATTTTCTTGTCAAAATATTTGTGTTTTTTTTGTTAAGGAGGGTAAGAGTGAGTGGGCTGGGAATTTTAATTTTCCAATCAAGAAAACTTAGTTAAAAGTTTTTTTTTTTAATTAGAAATACAGTAACTTAAAATTTTGTAGAAGTCAGTCCTCAAGTAAATTTTTTGATTTGATCTTTAGAGTGGTTACCTATTACTTGTTGCTGTATCTCTGATAGCTCGGACGTACTGTGATGTGTGGATGATAAACAATGGGACATCAATTGAGAGGTTCATGTCACCTAATTTCTGCACTTTGATTCAATTAATCAATGTGCTTTCAGTATTTCAAATATCGTCTCAAGTTTGTGTTATTTTTTCTGTTATCTGTGGAACATTGCAATTTGACTAACACACATTTCCAAGTCCAAAGTCAGTTATTCAGTTTGAGTAAATGCTAATTGATTGTTTTATGAGTTTACATGCTTAAGACACAGACTTCTAAGCACATGTAAGATTATTTAGACAATTCATTGTTGTTAATTTGTGATACACCAGGTCCATTATTGGTGGTGATTTTGGAGGATTTAAAGACAATCTCCTTGCACTGGTTTATGCCATGCCATTTGTAAGTACATTCAAATGCTTATTTATACATTTTGACTATTTTGAAATGAAGAAAAGTCTATATGGATTGTTTTTTTTAATGAGATCTCTAGAGTAATAATTACATTATGTGATTTTAGACACACCTATCATAGAGTTGATATGTTTATATTTTTTCATTCTTTACAGATATCTGTAATAAACCAACTTTTAAAGGTGTGTGTTAAGTTTTGATTTTAACTGAATTAATCTTAGAAATTTTTATCTTATGGAAGTTTTTGTCTTTCTAAAAGCAGTATCTATTATTTGTGCTCTGTATTAATTTTATGCTAATGGTTTCTACTCTGTCTTTCTTTTTGGTCTGTTTTATCCTATTCAAAGTTTTTCATCATGTTCTAGGCTAATATTATCTCTTGTTGTTTTTTTTTACCTTTTTCTAGTTTGGATTAAGTGAACTGAAGTTGAGGTTCCGCACAAGATTAACTCTTCATCTCTATGAAAAGTACCTTAGGTATTTCAATTAGAGTTTTGTGAACACAGTTGTGGAACTCTTTATATGTATTTGCTAAGTGTTACTTAAGGCAGATGCATTGGGGATAAAGACAACAGGATAAAGTTTGATCTGACTGAAATTTTTTTTCCAGCTCTTTTACTTTCTACAAAATGAGCAACTTGGATAACCGGATCGCAAATGCAGATCAACTTCTGACTCAGGTGGGGTGTGTAAAGTATAATGTGATCTGATTTGAGAGAGCACTGTGCCATTTGCAACAGATACTTTAGGCTGATATTTGGTTGTTGTAGGTTAAGCTTTTTTAGCAGTTACTAGGTTGTCTCTTTCATGGGCAGAGCAAGATGAAGGGATCAATTTTAACAACATTCTTTCGCTCTGTTTGAAGTATGTCTCTTTCTCTACCAGTTGGGGAATGTGTTGGTCTTTGGCTTCTCATTTACTTGCTTGTGTTCTCACAAATGTTGTCTCAAGATTATCACTGAAATCTGTTTTTTTTTTTTACAAAGGATGTGGATAAATTTTGCAACAGTCTTGCTGAACTATACTCCAATATAAGTAAGGTGAGTATTACAAATACATCTACATTTGCTTTCTCTCTGCTTACCTGATGCATTGCACCAAAATTTTGTTTGTTCCTCATAGCACAAGTGGTTCTGAATGGCAGGTGCTATTTACCTGCTTTTTGATCCTTTTGTCTATAACTGTTTTCAGCCTTTACTTGATATAGCCATATACGTACAGCGATTGGCTGGAGCTATTGGCATACAGGTTAGTATATAAGAATCATCTGTGAAACTTATTTGTTAGAATCAAATAAATTGATATGTCATTTTATTTAACTGAATTTATATTTTACTAAAATATGTCTTATTCTTGTGACCATTTTAGGGACCAGCCATAATGTTGGGATACTTAGCTTTCTCAGGACTTCTGTTAACAAGGTATTGTTAGAATGAACATTAAATGTTGCATGAAACTGTCCAGTAATTGACTGTAACTCTATGCCAAAGTTTTTGATGATGAATTTTATTCAATGAAGCACTGTTGGTGGCATTTGAGAACAGTAACTTTGGTGTAGATAATACATTGCGACATTGATATTCACAAGACTCAAGAAGCATGTAAGGAATAATTCAGTGGGATATCCCTTGTGATTATCTAAGTATGGTTAGTCTTGGAAAGGATACATGTACATTAGTTGCCATTTTTTTAAGCTGAGCTGAAGCTATCCCCATTGTGGACTACAGACTTAAAAACCTGACCAATATGGTTTGCTGACTTCAAAACATAAATTTTATGTGATGACTTTGTGGAAATAGGTATATGGTATAATTATAATTGTTTGAATTGTCAATTTGATATTGGCACTTGTTTATTGAAATTAAAAATGTAGATTACGACGACCAGTTGGTAGAATGACAGCTGATGAACAACATCTTGAAGGAGAGTTCAGATATGTGAACTCAAGGCTCATAACAAACAGGTAAACAAGATTGATATTAATAGATATTTTGGTGGCTTTGTAGCATCTATCACAGATATACTAATAGGCAAATATAAAGTGACTCTTATGCCTTTGTTTGATTAACGACAACCTCCGACAAAACCTGTTGAGAAAATACCTATTTTTTACAAAAAATACTGTTACAAAAATACCTATTTTTTGCACTCACCCTGACAAAAATGCTTACAGTCACAAATTCAAAGATTGTTTCCTCCCTCCCCTATTGCAATGTTGTTTGTGGTAACACAAGAAATGCATGCTTGAGCTGTTAAGTACCAACAACATTGTACCAGGGGTGGGGAGGGGGCCAAGTTTGTTCCTTTTGGAAACAATTGTTGCATGGCGGGAAATTAAAAATTGCATTGAAATGTCTTAACAGTATTGTCCAGGGTTGGAGATGTTTAATCCGTGTACAATTTGAATTGTAGTTGAGAATAACAATGGAGGAAAGTGTTTTGTTGAATTCCTGTCATGAGTTAGAACCTGATCAGCATGTTACAGAGAAGGGTGTGTTGGAAATATTTCAGTTTCAGGTAGAGAGTGAGGAAGCTGTTGGGTTTAAGCAGTGTGACATAGGGAACAGGATATACATTGGATAATGTTACATGGTGTAGGGTTTGGTTAACTTTTTAATCTGGCCTTAAATCTTAGTGAGGAAATTGCTTTTTACCAAGGAGGGAGAAGGGAAAAACTTACGATTGAAAGTACATTTCACAAGCTGGTAAGAAACACAGAATGATTATACAGAATTCATTACTCACCTCAACTCCTGGTGTTTCAATTGCTAAATGTGTTTTATGGTTACAGGTGGTTTTATTATATACTTTTTTATACACTTTCATCTTCTTAATTTTCTTTAATTATAGACCATTATTTCTATCACTATTTAGACAAAGCCTTGTTATTTAGTCATTAGTCTGCAATTGCTGCAGCAGGAATGCCAAGCTCCACAGGTTAAGAGAGGAGGTTTAGATACACCTCTTGCACTATCTGGGCTCTAGGTTTATTACATTGTTTTGTTTTTCAGGTTGATCATCTGAGAAGTTTCATTCAGTTTAGATCTAGTATGGGAGTTATTGACAATATCATAGCCAAATGTGAGTATATTATTGGCACACGAATAATTGACACCACCTTCAGATGTAAACACCTTTACAGTACTTGTAGTTCCTTCTTCCTTATCAAGTGTGGGTAGGAGTCAATTGGTGTGGATGTGGACTCAGTGCTTTTTTAGTTCACAAAAAATTAATTCACATTGTAAAGAGCTTTTAGTCTATTTATGTAGAAAAAACATTTTTTTTTTGTGCAAATTGTAGATATAGCTACTGCTGTAGGATTCTCAGTTGTCAGTCGTCCTTTTCTGAGTGCATCAAGCACAAGGCATATCAATAGCACACACAGCGAGAGAATGGAGGTTTGTTAAATTCTTTTCTAAAGAGAGCTGGACACAAACAGAGAGACAAGCAGACAGACGAGCAGACAGACAGGAATAGAGTTGGGCGATCCCGTTGTAAACGTTGCAGAAATAGGCAGAAAGGCAGGCTTAAACAGATAGAGGGAGAATATCAGACAAATGGACTGCGAGATCAACAAAGACAGATATATACAGACAGAAAGACTGATTGTACAAACAGCATGAGTGTTTGAAAGGTAACGTTCTTTTCCAAATTGATACAGGACTACTACAGAAGTGGCAGGATGTTGGTGAAAATGGCGGAAGCAATTGGTCGCTTAGTGTTGGCGGGAAGAGAGCTAACCAGACTGGCCGGGTAAGTCAGTGTACAAAGGCACTAATAAATTTACATTCCACTTGCTTAACCCTAGTATTCTCTTCCTGATATTTGTACAACACACTGGTAAAAAAAAAAAGGGATTGCTTTTGCTAAAACCTGGTTATTGATGTTTTTTTTCTCAGGTATACTTCCAGAGTATCAGAACTAATGACAGTGCTAAAAGATCTGAGTAAAGGAGAATATCAACGAACTATGATCAATCAGTCAAGTCCGCAGTTAAAGGGAGAAAGTGAAAGTCAAGGTACCAACCACTAGAGTAATTTAATTATAATATAAACCAAATAGCTCCATGTAAATATGATATAAAGCGAGTAAGGTAATGTAAATAGAGTGATATGTGAACTGACTTGAGGCGAGTTACAGAGCGTCCTTGTGTTTTTTGGTTTTTACTTATGACGCATACATAACCTGAAGGAATCGGTTTGAACTGGAATTAATGCGAATTGAGTATAATTATGATGGTGTTGTTCTTGTGCATATGCTCTTGTCACGAAACGATATGCTTAAGAATGAGGGCGCAAAACCAGAAAAAAAACTTTAAGTATGCTGTCATGTACCTTGTTCAGTGCGCGTCGTCAGCTGTGGGTGGCTCAACCAAATTTCTATGTAGAGGAAAAGGTAATGGAATTGGGAGAGCGATATTGATAACGCTACGTGCTATGTAAACTGGGAACAGGGGAATTTTCGCACGAAGAGAGCAGGAGCTAGTGACAATCTTAGACTACATGTAGTTGGTAAAGTTCGCAATTTGAGAGGCTTCGATAGGGTATGGGTGTCAGTAGAGTCAAGAATTGGGAGAGTGAATCAGTCGCACTAAGGAAAAGTTAGTCATTGCACAATCATCGTCATTACTGTTATTATTAACGTTATTAGACTAGTATAGTTAATGGTAATTGGTGTTGACGTCGTCGTCGTCGTTGTAGTTGTTGTTGTTGTTGTTGTTGTTGTTGTTGTTTTGTCACCTTACCGTCAGGCTCACTCCATGCTTAAGGTTTAATTTGTTACGAGTTCAATTAGTACAAATGGACTCACTATCTGTTTCCTTTCTTGTTTTCAGATAATATTCCAAGGAGCTCTTTGGTTCCAAACCAAGGCGAAATAGTTGAAACTGATCACCTAATCAGGTAAGCACTGTTAGATTTTACAGCAGATCATGTTGTACCTTTGAATTTATTCTATGTAAAAACCTGTCCTTTTGAGGTGGTGGAAGCGAAATGATGCGATTTTAATTTTCTGTATTTTTGTTGTTTGTTACAGCAATGCGCGTCTGAATCACTTTTGTCATGCTTTTCAACCAAAGCGAACTGGTCTTGCTTTTCGTGGCCTTGAGGGATAATTTTTGTACAATTAAATGATTAGAATAACAAGAAAAAGTATTTAGTACTAAATGAAAACAACATTAGAACTCACGCAAATGGCAATGGAGAGAACTTATGTGTGAAATATGCTGACTTTGTGTACAGATTTGAACATGTTCCTCTGGTTACACCCAATGGAGACATTCTTGTGAACGACCTTTCGTTTGAGGTGAGAACCGTTCCGCTGAGGTAAATATATAACACTGCCAATTGGATTGGATGTAACAAATAGTTGTCTGCACTCACCGATCGGGATCATTGTAGTGATTTAATAGCCGTAAATGATACAAACATCGTGGGCTATGACGCAGACCTCTTCCAGGGCTTGGCTGCGGTTCTCCTTCGAGGTTTTATTGTTTCGTTAGTTGTCTGTATTTGTAGCGATATTTATGGGCGACAGTAAAACGCTTCCATGTTAAGGTTCTTTCGTAATGTTTAATTTTATATATGTAGCTATGTGTACTCTATTTTTTCTTTTACAGGTTCGCTCTGGCATGAATGTGTTAGTTTGTGGGCCAAATGGATGTGGAAAAAGTTCACTGTTCAGGATTTTGGGAGAGGTAACGTTATTTGAATACAGGATGTTTGTTTAAATAAACAAAATAATTTGAAAATATCAACAAAGTTGAAATGGTAAATTGGTCACCGTTACGGTTGTAAAAGCTGACGTTTCGAGCGTTAGCCCTTCGTCGGAGCGAATGACGAAGGGCTAACGCTCGAAACGTCAGCTTTTATAACCGTAACGGTGGCGAATTTATCATTTCAACTTTGTTGATATATTCAAATTATTTCGTTACCCCCACCGACGCAGCGCCAAACAGTTTCTTTAGAAACTATCAGCCTTTATTCATTTGTTTAAATAAACGTTAACCAAGTAAACTTCTGAAAGGACATCAACAGAATTCATAACTATATTATTTCAGCCCTTCTGTTTTCAGTTGGTCAATTGGAATTTATTAGGTAACTCATTATTTACCATTAGTTTGACATCGAGGTGTTTTATTTAACAGCTATGGCCGCTGTTTGGTGGTAAATTAGTAAAACCAAACAAGAGCAAGCTTTTCTATGTTCCACAGGTTAGTGATGGTTCTACAGTGAAAGTCTTCTTTTACGATTTTTGTAGGTACAAAAGGGCTGTTAGTTTCCAGACTATTACGATTATTTATTATTATTATGATGATGATGATGATGATGATGATGATGATGATGATGATGATGATGATGATGAAGACTACTCCGGCACTCGGGAGGCTCTTGATTCTAAAACAAATTCCCCTTGAAAAAACCTTAGGAAATGCTTTAGGGAATAAGTGTAACGATGTTAGAGTGTGAAGAGTTAAGTTTCCTGGTTTTTCAAGGCAAGCATTAAATGTCACATTATCGGAGATGGCTACAGACGCATTTTTTTCAGTCCATTTACGAGAGCTGAGCTGTATTTCGAAAAGTTCATAATGTAGAGTTTTTTTTCCTCATGTTTAAAAAGCTACCCTCTCATTCTAGGTTGGTTTTGGGGAGATCCACACTTTAAAACACTAGACGATAAAAACTACACGTTTAACGGTATAAATGTAGCTATTAGAGCAACATATTACGTCTTTTGTTGTAGAAATAGGAATTGGGACAACCCAGATTTGATGCAATTTTGATTTTTGTGTGTGTGTTGAATAAGCCAATCTCAAGCAGCATTTGTAAATTGCCTCTACGTAGTGAGATTTACAATTGTACATTTAAAAACACAAATAAAGTTTCCATTATTATTATTATTATTATTATTATTATTATTATTATTATCAGTTTTTATTTTTTTCATCATTATTATATTGGTTGTTTATCTGGTAACTTGAAAAACACACTTCGTCTTCTGCCTGCGTTCAATCATTGATTAAAAAAAATTGAAAAAGGATTTTATCGTTTTTGTTTCTGTTTGTTTGTTTGTGTTTTCGTTTCTTTCAAAGGCAAATAATTCTGTTGTTTTATTAGCGTCCTTATATGGCCCTTGGGACATTGCGGGATCAGGTGATTTATCCCGACACCGTGGAAGATTTGCACAGGAAAGGACTTACGGACCTAGACCTTGAGGATTATCTGAAACAGGTTTGTGATTTATTAACTCATCAAGTCCTTACTTACGGACACAACTTTCCTTTCCGCTAACAATAGCAACCAGCACATGTTCATGGACTGAATGATTGAACTGGAAGATCACAAGTATCTCATATTGTAACCTAATCTTCGCTATTCCCACATTGATTCTTAAGTTATGAATTCGTGTTTTAGGTTCATCTTGGTAATATTCTTGAGCGTGAAGGGAGCTGGGATTCGATCCAGGTAAACTCAATCGAGTTTGAAGTACTTCTAGTCAATCATGTTTGATGTTTAAGCTGGAGATGTTGAAAGAAAAGTGTCTTAATCTTTTTTGAGTGGAAGTGTTTTTTTTTTTTTTTTCTTTTTTCTTTTTACTCTATTCCTTCAGGATTGGATGGATGTTCTGAGTGGTGGTGAGAAACAAAGGATGGCAGTAAGTGTGCATTAAAACCTGGAATACAAACATATTCCTGCTCTTGGTCACTTTCTTGTCTGCCTTTGTGACACTGAACGACAACATGACCAAGTGTTTTGATTTTTTTTAATTTGAAGAGTTGTGTCACTCGAATTAACGTCCTTCTCTTTCCTATACTATTACCAGATGGCTCGCCTTTTCTACCACAAACCTCAGTTTGCGATTCTAGATGAATGCACAAGTGCTGTTAGTGTGGATGTGGAGGGATTCATGTACACTCGCTGTAGAGAGGTATGTGATCATTCCAGTTTAACTTTTGGTCAGCTGACACTTTCCGCCAGTGGGAAGTTAAAATATAGCTTTATTTTACGGCCGAGTCTGTATCATGGGTCCTTGGACTGACAGGATATTCTACTCTATTGTTGAAAATTGCTCATCCCCTCACCCGCCCTTTCTTAACCTTAACCCCAACGCTAACCCTTCCACCAAGCCTCGCAACTGAACAACCCGTCGCCTCTCGCTGAGTTCAACAAGGAATTAAATTAAAACATTTGTTTCAAAGTAATGTCACTACTGCTTAAACGCAGAAGTGTTAAGTTACCCTTCCTAATTCCTTTACACTGAATCATATTCTTTTCTTTTCTAGAACAATTCTGCTTTAAGAATATTGTTAAGGGTATCAATGCCATGAAGTGTTAAGGGATACCTGTACTCCCCTTGGTCATCAGTCCATTTGTTTTCTCTTTCTAGGTTGGCATCACATTATTTACTGTCTCGCATCGGAAGTCGCTGTGGAAATACCACGAGGTTTGTAATTATTTTGTTTTTAAATAATCTTTTATTTGTATTTGTGATTTTTAATCAGTAATGCTGCAATAGATTGCCTTCCGTCAGAACTACCTTGTTCAAGGACGTAATTTGAATATATCAATAACGTTGAAATGGTAAATTGGCCACCGTTACGTCGTCGGAGCGAAGGGCTAACGCTCGAAACGTCAGCTTTTATAATCGTAACGGTGGCCAATTTACCATTTCAACTTTGTTGATATATTCAAATTATTTCTATTCCCCCACCGACGCAGCCAAACAGTTTCTTTAGAAACTATCAGTCCTTATTCAAGGACGGTTTCATTTTAATGCGTATGTGTCATTCTCACAACGTCTCTGCCCCCCCCCCCCTCCTCCCTTCCTTTCTAACCTGATATAAGTTTTCTCTCCGTCTCTATCTTCAGTATGTTTTATACATGGATGGCAGAGGCGCGTATGAGTACAAACCGATTGATTCTGCTACTACAGAGTTTGGTTCATAGGCGTCTTACTGTGACCTCGATACTCATCACCCGTCGATCAACAGCTACAAATACTCTGGCATTGTTCTTGCTCGCACTGCACACTCTGAACACTGATCGATCCATCAATTTCTATCCCATATCGCGCTCAGCAATCAGTTATGCTGTCCTTCTCTACAAGTCTGAACTGCCTCTTCTTTTCAGGCTTTTTTTATTCTGTAGTGTGCGCTGGTTTTAGAGGCCCAGAACTTTTGATTCATTGAAAATCTGGGTTATTATATCAAGGAGATCATGACTTATCAATATCGCAAATTCCCTGACTTTGGTGAAACTGCTCTAACCAAGAAATATACACGTCACATGTTGTGTCACCATATCTGGCAGCCTGAACATGCAGAGAAAGATTCTGCCTCGCTTATCTGATAACTAAACAAGAGGTGTTTGTTGAATCGAGTATTTTAAAAAAATTATTACCCCTAGATATTTTAACTTTGTAACACACTAGAATGTTTAATGGCGTTACGCCAAAATATGTTTTAAAAAGACTTCTTCAAAGTATTACACTGACTTGATAGTTAAAGTTAATCTTTTAATAATTGGTGGAACAAACACAATTGTTGTAAGTCAGCGATATTTTTCCGTTCTTGTTGCTGTTAGGCACAGAATTACATCTGCAAGCTGTGCGTTTTCGTTCGTGAATCTCGACTGAGTGTTAAAAGTTTTTTCAGGAGATCCTGTCAGGAGCAGGGCTTTGGAGAACTCCTTTCATTCAATTGGTATGTAACAGTCGTTATTCCTCGGGCAAGAAGCATCCTATCAAAACTACATAGGAGCGCGAAGGGTGGTGACTTTGATTTGTTATTGGCGCCGGCCATGTTTGAATAGTAATGAAGACACAGAAGTTGCCGTTTTTAATTTGAGAAATTTTCCATACAGTTTGGAGTTATTCAGGACTGTACTTCCTATTCGGTGGTTTAATGTATTTTACAATGTGATTACCTTTTATAGCAAACTAAACCCAACACATTTGTCGTTAATGGCAAGGGATATTCACGCATTATTGACTTGTCAAACAGGTTCAGCTAGAAATTAAAGATGGCGGACTCTGGTATTGATATGTATTGATAAAGCACATACAAATAACAAAAGTGCAAATACGTTCAAACTTTGTTTTAGATACAATGAAATATATGAAGTTCATATATTTTGAACTGCGGTATTAGATACATATGATGCACGATCCTCGCAGTAGATAGCGCTATTTAAGCAATAGCGCAAATCAGACCTGAAAAAAATCAGGCCTGTACGGGATTCGAACCACTGACCTCTGCGATACTAGTACAGCGCTCTACCAATTCAGCTAACAAGCCAACTGGGAGCAGGCCGTTAAGTCAACTTAACGGCCTGCTCCCTGTTGGCTTGTTAGCTCAATTGGTAGAGCGCTGCACTAGTATCGCAGAGGTCAGTGGTTCGAATCCCGTACAGGCCTGATTTTTTTCAGGTCTGATTTGCGCTATTGCTTAAATAGCGCTATCTACTGCGAGGATCGTGCATCATATGTATCTAATACCGCAGTTCAAAATATATGAACTTCATATATTTCATTGTATCTAAAACAAAGTTTGAACGTATTTGCACTTTTGTTATTTGTATGTGCTTTATCAATACATATCAATACCAGAGTCCGCCA